ATGCCAATTCTGGGTTTTGCTAATTACTACAAACTCGAGGTGACACAAGTCTTCATTTACACGTTCAGACTTGTAAAAGGTACATCCTGTGAACTCAGCCTACCCAAGATACAAAAGTTGTTTGGGTTTTTTTTTAACCCAAGGGAGTCCAGAGGTACAAGCCCAGCGAGGTCACAGGACGGAGCCCCGGTGCCGGCGCGGCCGCACCACCCACCTCCTTCCACTCGTTGACACAGAAGATTCTGTAGGAGTCGTTCCCGTACTTGCCGATGCCGTGCAGCTCGATCGGGTACTTCCACTGCTTGCTCAGGTACTCACCTGCAACGGACGGTCAGACCTCACTGCCTGCAGAAAGCAGCTCTGGACAAAGTGCTGGTGCTCTGCTACCATTAACACGGCTCCACTTTGGAACATTTTAAATGAAAACCACAAGTTTTAGCTATTTCCTGGTGACAGCAGGTGATGAATCCCTATGGGGTACATCTGAAACACCTTTTAAACAAATCACTGTGGGTGAGTCTTCAGTAAATCTCTCTCCTCAGAACCCACAGAGGAATACCTTTATTCTAAGTGTAGACAAGTACAGAAATACTTTTATTCTAAGTATAGAAAATAGCAGAATCACAGAAAAATTCTGCCTGGAAGGGCCTTCTGGAGGTCACCCGAGGCAAAACAGAGCAGAGGCACCTCATCCTAGTGCTGCAAACCACAGAATCAGTCTCGCAGATGTTCGTATCTTTTCCCACTCCAAGGCTCCCAGACAAAGGTCTCCTGCAGAACTCATTACCTGCTACCTCATTCTCAGTCACAACAACAGGATCCGCAGCTTTGCCTGTGTCAGACCAACACACCCCAAAGCTGCATAAAATAAAATAAAATAAAGCACCACCAAGATCTGCCAACCAGAAGGAGAAGTCACAGGACACTGAAAACGCGCTGTTCGCCTCGTCAGTGTGACCTGGATCATTCCACAGCCACGTTCAGGAAACCCACCTGAGAACTTGATGATAGTTTTCGCTCTGAGTTCGTAGAGGCCGAGAGGTTTGAGCAGCTCTGACATTTCTTTCCAGTCTGCATTCCTGGTGATTTCAGGAGAAGGATACTTCTTCAGGAACTCCCAGAGCACAGGAATTGCCATTTTACCTAGTGAAAGAAACCCTGGTGAACAGACGGCCACGCAGCAGCTCTCGGCTCCCGTTACCTCAGAGCTTTTTCTGAGGCAAGAGTTACAAATTGAAGATTTTTTAGTTTTTTTTACACTGACACAAGTTAATATATATTTATTCTTTCATTAATGCCATTAAGAAATGGCAGCTGCTCTGACCCTGTAACACCACCTCAACATTTACACGAAAGGAAACTGTATTACTCTATTTACCTGAAGTTTTATTGAGAAATATGGTTGCAATGAGAAGTTTCCATGGATCATGGAAAAGGGTTTCTTGGATCAAGTTAAAAGGAGAACGTGGAGGAGTCCATTTTCTGAGGGCCTTCCTTCTAGGTGGGCTGGGAGCTGCACACAGAAGCAACACAGCAACATATATTAGGCAGTAAAGGATGGATCTACCTATTTAAATGAAAATATTTTTTGAAATGAAGACCATTTGAAGCAGATTCATCTTTGGGGGGGCACTAAATGTGCACTGAGTAATGGCAATTCACACAGAAACTTTACAGAACCGCAAGGGACACGTCCCCTGGCAGAGTGGGCAAGAGTCAGGGCTGCCTGCCTGTGCCCCGTGTTCCATGTTACACCTAATTTCTGAGGAGAGAGGCCCTCCCCAGCCACTGCCACGGTCCTGTGTGGGTACAGAGCAGCAATCACACAGTACAGGGTCTTGCCCTGATGGGGAAACACCTGAGTGGTCTGGAGATAACTCCCACAAAGCCCCTGCAACGAGCATTTGATGCCAGCCTGAACGGCTGCTGGCGAGACACAAACCACCGAGGTCTAGAATGGGACCAGATCAGCCGTGAGCCGAGCTCTCCGAGGCCACCCAAGCACGGCCAGCCGAAACTGGAAGAGATTTTCCATAACATCACTTGATCTTCAGCCATCCTATTCCTCCCCCCATAAAATGGGATTTATTTCCCTAAAGAATATTATACCTTCTTTACTGTATTTACTTGAAAAATATGGACTCGTTTTCCTCCTATCCACTTGTGTTCGTGGGATAGACTCTTCTGTAAAGAAATAACACTTTAGGGCCAAAAAGAAAAAAACCAAGTATTTTGCTGTCACATTTCATACACCATTTCCACTCTACGTTGTGATGGAAATGTTAGGATTTCTTGCAGGTGTACAGAACATAAATGCACCTCAGATTCTCTCCAGTACTCCTCTGGATTTCAGTTCTCTGAAAAATCTTCCGAAGACAGAGCATGACTTTGTCACAGTCGGAGGAAACAGACTCTGACAGACAGAACAAGCTAAACCCAGCCTTTGTAATGATTAAACTGACCAACCTCAGAGCTGGTGCAGCAGAGGTAATGAACGTCATTATATTGTACTGCACAGCTGAGGAGGTCGGTACACAAGTTCCTGTCGTGAATAAATCTGCAGGACATTAACCACTGTTGGATAAAGAAATTAAACAGATTCAGGTGTCAAAGGAGCTTGACCTGAAATGGGACAGGAGAACCCCTGGCCGAGCGCCAGGATAACATTCTGCTGGAACCACACAAATACCTGGTGGCATTTTAACAGCTGTGAAGCTTTCCCTGTCGCGCGGCTGCAAGACGCTGGCATTCGCGTCAGCGGAGTTAAAATCCCGGCTAACCGGATCGCCTCGATTTTTCCCTGTTGCCCAGTCACTGGTTTTCTCCTCAGAGGTTGCAGCAGGTGCGTCGCTAGAACCTGTCTCCACACACTCCTCCTCTGCCAGGCTCTCCAACTCCCTCTGCGAGCGAGTCGTCACTGGCCTCAGCTGTGTGTCTGCCCGTGACCTGCAAACTCTGAGCAGCGTTTTTCCTGTGTCCGTAGGGTCCGTGTCCTGATCCGCTGCCCCCTGGCCACCAGCCACGCAGGCCTCTGCCTTCCTACAGAATCTCTTGCTCTGAATGGCCCCAGTTTCCTGTTTGTTACTCACTCTTCTCTGTCTTTTCTTCTGGGTATTCTCTCGATTCCCCTGTTCTGAGCTCTTTCTGGTTTTCCTACCCTGAGCACTTTTCCCACCTGCCCCTTTTTTTTTGGTTTCCAGGCAGTCCTCTGGTTTTACGTCTTTCAGGATCCAATCTCTGCTTTGCAGGGTGGATGGAACATCCTCCAGGTGTTCATTTCCAGTCTGAAGGTTTCGAATTCTATCCTCTGCACCACTGTGTACACTGAGGCCTTGACTGTGACAACCCTCATTCTCCAGAGCAGTTCTCCCAGCTCTGGGGCCGTTTCTCGCTGCCCTGGGACGGGTACTCCTCTGGGAAGCAGCTGTAAAATCAAAATCTTCCACTTTTAGCGCTGTGTCCCCAGTTTTCTGAAAATATTCCACAAGTGCCCTTTTCGATCTTATCTTATTTCCTTCAGGACTGTGGTATGAAAGAAAAGTAAATTAGTGATGACTTTTTCATTCTCTTACTCCTCACTTATAAAAAACTATTCTAGTATTTTACAAAAGAGAACAAATTACAGAAGTAGCTGACAGGGTGATGTCTGGACAAGTTTTTGTGACTTGACCAAAAAAGCTTTACAGAGTTTAGAGACAACCCTGCACAGTGTGCCCTCCATCTCACAAACCCCGCGCAGGGCACACACTGTGCCTATGTGTGAGCGCAGGCTCAGAGGACAGGGAGGGGAGGAGCAGTTTGCCCACTGATGGGCACCACTCGCCCGCCCATTTCACAGAGTCCCAGAATGGTCTGGATTGGAAAAGCCCTT